TCACACAACAGAGGATCTCCAGGAAAATTGGAAAATATCTCAGGGTTTCTAAAATCTGTGCTATCTGATCATGATCCTGTTGTAATTTCCTTACCTGCACAGGGAACTCTCAGACATTTGCCATCTGCTCAAGAGGATGTGGGACATTCCCTGTCTGCCCAACAAGCTCCAGAACTGTCCACATTGGAACAAGGGTCTATCCAACATGTGGAAGCAGCAAAATTGGCTCTGGTAATGCCATCATCTCCCAAAGGGGCTACCGGAAAATTTCAGTGGGACCAATATGCTTTAGAATATTTTCTACCTAGCGAAAGAGCTCTTCAACATTATTCAACCCACCTGGGGACTCAAAAAAGTTTGAAATCTTCCCTAGAGTCTCTGGAAATTTTGTCATCTAACTCTGAACATTTCAAAAATTCTCTCTCTGCTGCAGGTGGTCTGGAATCTTCTCTATGTGATCCAAGGGTTTTTGGACATATGCTAGCTGACAAATACCATGAACAACATTCTATATATGCACAGGGCTCTCTGGGTAATTCACTGTCTACCCAAGAGGCTCAAGAACACTTAGTACCTTTAATAGGGAATTTGAAACCTTGTCAATTTCCCAATTCCAAGGAAGGACTCAAAACTTTGATACCTTCACAAATTGTTCTGGAAAGCACTTCAAATATTTCAGAGCATCTAGGAGCTTTATCATCTGATCTGGAGCATATGGGACTTTCCTCATTAGCAAATGAGTAAATAGAGAACTCCCAATATGCTGAAAGTGTTGTGGAATCTTCTTCTGCCACTGGAGCTTTAAGAACTATGCTTGCCCAAAAGTCTTTGGAAAATTCTTTAGCTGAAAAAGGGATTAGGGAAACATTATCATCTTCCCAAGGGGCTTTGGAAATATTATCATCCAAAAAAGGGAGAGTGGAAAATGTATCATATCCTGATAGGTCAGTGAAACCTCTGACTTCTTTACCGGAGACTTTGAGACCTTCTTCATTTATCCAAGGCCCCCACCAACACCCACTATCTGCACAAGGGCCTCTAGGACCTCCCAGAACTGACTCTGGCATCCAAAGACCTTTATCAACTCCAGAGGCTGGAGGAAATTTATCAAGGGAACCAGGTTCTTGCAAATCTTTCCCATTGACCCCAGAAACTCTAGATCATTTGCAGTCTGCTGAAGGACCTGATGATCTATCCATATCAGCACATGGAATGTTTGATCCTTTACCATCTACCCAACAGACTCTAGAAATTTTGGTATATTCTTCAGGGCTGAAGGGACCATCAGAATCAGAACATAGGAAACTTGGGCATGTGTCATATGTGGGAAAAGATGTAGAAATTTCTCCATTTGAGAAACCAGCCAAATCAAGTTCTCCATTGACTCCACATATACCTGTCATCAAAGAGGTTATGGAATCTTCCTCAAGTGGTCTGGTATCTCTGGGGTCTCTGTTATCTGCCAGAGAAGATGCAAAAGGCACTCCCTCTGCACCACATGCACAGGAATGTTCTTTACTTCCCAGGCCCTAGAACATTTTGTAACTATCCAAGGGCCTCTGCAAATTAACACACCTGACAAACAGACTCTGTGCCCTTTGCCATCTACAGTAGAGAATGTAGAATATTCCATTTTTTCTTGAAGGTTTCCAAGAAGATTCCAAATGCTCCCAAATGTTCTTGACCATCTGTCCTGTAGGGGTGAAACTGAGGAATTTTCTCTCTCTTCCAGGAACTAAAAACATTTTCTTACTTGCTCCAGTAAGTAATTTAGATTACTTAAATTAAATTTAGAACATTCCTCCCTACAAGATGCAACTCAAACCATTTCCCCTTGTCCTCAAGAGGTGGTGGTATCTTTGCTATCTAATCAAGGGTCTTTGGGACAGTCTCCATCTGATCATGGTTCTCAGGGACCATTGGCATCTACACTAGGAGCAGCGGGACCTTCCTTATCTGAAGCCGATTCTATACAGCTATCTGCATCTGCACCAGTGACCAAAGTACATTTAACCTCTTCCCTTGGGCCTTCAGCATCTAAATATCATGACCAGATGGAGGTGGGAATTTTGCCTGCTCTCCATGGAGATCTTGAATCTTCTCAGTCTGATCAAAGGACTCTGGAAATGACCAAGTTTGCATTTATCAGTTGCTCAAAGAACTACAAAATTTTCATCTCATTCCCAGGATGCTACAATTCTTCTCTATCTGACCAAAGTCATCTATTGCATTCAGTATGTGTCAAAGAGGCTTTGATACCTGCTTTATCTGATCAGGAAACTGAAGAATCATTGTTATTCCCCTTAGAAGATACAGAATGTCCACCGTCTTCAGCTTGTATTCAGATGCAGGAACCTTCACTATCTACCCTAGGGCCTCAAGACTCTTTGCTAACTAAACAAGAGCCTCTGAAACTTTCTATATCTCTGTGCAACTCTCTGTGTCCTTTTCCATCTTCCCATGAGTCTGAGACTGAGACTGTAGCACTTTCCACATTATCTCCAGAGTGTCTGGAACCATCTCAATCTGCACAAGGGGAACTAGAATATTTTTAAACTGTAGGACAGTGTAAAGAACATTCTTCAACAGCCTTTTGGAGGACACAAACCATAAGACAATAATGGTTGCTAGACAAGCACAAAGTAAAGGTTTGGAGCCCCAGCTCAGGGCCTGGTAGGCAGGTAACAGGTGTAAATGAGTGCAGTGTCTTCTTATGTCATTGTGTATTTCCCAAGTCAGGATTCTGGGGAGCCTCCAGTGTCAACAGAGGCTGAGAATGCCTCCAAGCTATAATGTCCTGAGAGCTGTAGAAGATGGCTGAAATCAGACTGCGTCTAGGGATGCAGCTTGGGTCCTTTGGACTAAATCCTCCAAAGGTTTAAGAGGGAGCTGGCTTCTGTGCTCTGACTCTTGGCCATGAAGTTATGAACTGGGACTCTCACAAAGGAGACCTCCCATATGAAGAAGACAGGGAGTCCTCAGTCTTCCCTGAATCCTCCTTCTTTTAGGCAATAAGCCATTGCTGGCCCTAGGACAGTTGGGTGAATGGATGTCTCTCTCATGTCAATTGTCCACATCATCTGTCCTCTGCATACCTTCTTCTACCAGGCAGGAAGGCTATACAATATTGACACTCACATGAGTACCTAGACACTAAATGTGACACTGTTGTTGCCCAGTCAGCTGAGGGCCCTATGCATGTGTACCAGTTAGAGTGTTCCTATAAGGCTGTGAGGGGCAGGGGCAGGTTTAGCGTGAAGACTAGTTTCTGCCCAAGATTTTACTTTTGGGGCTTCTTGACTCTTGCATCCTCATGATGGAGATTGTAATTTATTTTCCCTGTATTGGCCTTATGCCCTAAGAGTGTGACTTGCTAAGAGCTCTCTTGTGCCAATGAGTTCAAGTGTACTTCCCACTTTCTCTTCTATAAGGTTCAATGTGGCTGGCTTTATGTTGAGGTCTTTGATCCATTTGGACTTGAGTTTTGTGCATGGTGATAGATATGGGTCTATATTCATTCTTCTGCATGTTGATATGCTTTCTTTTTTTCCATTTGATATTTTTTGCTTCCTTGTCAAAAATCAGGTGTTCAAGGGGGTGTGGATAATATCTGGGTCTTCTATTTGGTTGTATTGTTCCTCCTGTCTGTTCTTATGACAATACCAGGCTGTTTTCAGTACTGTAGCTCTGTAGTGGAGTTTGAAGTCAGGGATTGTGATGCCTCCAGAAGTGATTGTCTGCCTATGGCATGGTAGCTGGGACCTTTTGCTGAAAAGTATGTTCCAGAAGTAATTGTGAGTGTTCTTAGGCCAGTAAGAAGTCAGCCATAGTGAGTTCAATCGCCATCACAAAAAGAAAACATAGAAAGTGTTCCTTAAGTGTGCCTTCAACTGGATCTTAGTAAAGAGGGAGTTTTCAAACCCAGGCAGTGCTGTCTCAACAAGAAAGGGGTAGAGTCATTTTCATCTGGGCATTACAATCAGTCTCAATAATGAGGTAGTGGGCCTCTGGGGGTTCAGTCCTGGAAACTCTATAGGTCAGACTTGATGCCCAGTGTCAAAGGGACTGTGGTCATGTAACAGTGAGTCTGGCAGGACAAATGGTGCTGTATTTAGCCCCTGGATAGTTTTTGCTGAAGATTTTATTCCTCTGGCTTCTCCCAACTCTTGTATCTAGTGAAGGGGGTCCCTATTCAGTTTTCCTGTCTGGCTCTTATGCCCTGAGGCTGGGCCCTGTTTTTTTGTGGAGGAGTGTCTCAGTACAGAGGTTTATTGGGTCTAAGACCTTCCAGGCCAGATCCATAAACTAAGGATCCAAACCCATCTCTGGCTATAAGGAGCCAAATTATAGCCAAGATATTTTGGAGTTTAGTGTCTTGTTGACTCTTTTCAGTATTTTTTTTCCTCAGAGAAGGGCAGAGGGAGTGAATGTGAATGAAGGTATCATTTGCATTACTGGTGCTATACTGCCATCAAGAGGAACTACTACGCTGTTCCCAACATAAACCCAAAGTGCTTTTTGTCTGTATGTCTGAAAACCAGTAGGTGAGGAATGTTGGGGCTTCTGGTCCAAATACTGAATTAACAGTGGCTCTAACTAGCTTGCTAGTTCTGGGGTAAGCCAAGGTTTGATGCCTAGGGTGAGACTCAACCAGTGCTAACCTCCAAGGCAGCATGGATTTCAAAGTAGTAAAGCCCAGAATATGGGTTTTGCAAAATCTTGTGGCAGCCATGTTTGCCACAGTGATGAGGAATACTCCACCCTGGGATGCAGATAGGTGAGTAACTTGCTTGTTAAAATACAGAATCTAGACAGATGGTGGTGGCACATGCCTTTAATCCCAGCATTCAGGAGGCGAGGGCTGGTGAATCTCTGTGAGTTCGAGGCCAGCCTGGTCTACAAGAGTTAGTTCCAGGACAGGTTCCAAAGGTACAGAAAGACCATTTCTTAAAACACAAAAATTATAAAATATAGAATTTATCCAATTTTTAGACACGTACCTGCACAAATACTTCATTTCCTGGAATCAGCCATTACCCAGGGATCTGGTCTCTCTGCTTTAGGGTCCCCAGAAAATCAACCTAGAGGTCATAAATTTGTCAGTCGTTCTTTCCTGTTTTCATCCTTCTGTCCATCCTACTTTCCCTTAATCCCTTCTTTCTCTCCAGCTTTTGTCACTTCCTCCCTTGCTTTCATGCTTAGATCCTCAGTCTGTTGCCTAGGTTTCATTTTCTTCTTTTGGCTTTCTGCATTCTTATCTTTTGGATTTCTTCTTATTCCCTTTGTACATTTGCTGCCCTTCAGGAGTTCTGAAGGACCTGTCTTAAACCTGTGAGCCAAAAAATTAACAGCAAAATCGGGTTCCCTGGAACAATGCAAGGGTATGGGAAATAAATGCAAACGTGAGATACAGGGAGGACATTATTCCACCATGAAGCTATACCTTCAAAACAGGTGGGAAATTGGCCCAGGGGAGACAACCATCCTAATTTGTCTGATGTCTTGCAATGGTATCATACCTGGAAGTAGACTCCATGGTGCACAGAGGAGAAAGGGAACACAGGAAGTTGCCATTATGAGTTGCACATCCCTAGCCATGAACAGGAATCAAAGTGGAGAGGACAGTTGCCAGTCAAACCCTTTGCTTTTCCTGTCCAGAGACCCCAGCTAACATCGCGTTTTGGCTGGTGGCATACTCAACCTTGTGTGAAAGAAGAGGCTCCCTGGAACCATGATCTGAAGATAAAAAAAAATCAAAATAAAACCTTTATTTCATCTCAGCTTTAACTCGCTTACCAGCTCCTTTGAAGCAGCCCCAATTCCTTTCTTTGGGCTTGCCCAGCAACAATTACGATTTCACTGTGTGGAAACAATAGTTCCCTGTACCTAAGGCATCCATACCTGTGGTGGGATTTTGCTTGTGCTCTAATAAATAAAGCTTGTCTAAAATCAGAGGGTAGAGCTAGGAACTTGTTAGCCATAGAGGTCTGGACGTCTGTACAGACAGACAGGAAGTGATATTGCTGGGCACAGAGAAGAATATAAGGTGGATGGAGACAAGGCTTCACCCCCTCCCCCTTTCTGTCAAATGAGTTAGGAAGGTAAGGGTTGACTTTGGTTTGCTCCTCTGTTTTTCTGATCGTTCAGCATATACCTCTACATCTGACTTTGGATTTTTATTATTAAAACCAATTAGAAATTATACAACAGATACCCACTCAAGATATTTGTTATTATTTCATTTCTCCAAAGGACACAAAGTCCCTCTAGGACTCGAAACTTTATTCTGTGCATTCCAGCCCATTTCTGAAGCACTGTACAAAAATAAAGGAAGGATTTCTGATGAAAGTCCCCAGTCATTTTGGTTCCTGCTAAGATGCCGGCACCATAACAAACCTCAGGGCAAATTCAAAAGAAACTCATGACTTGCCTTCATCTTTACACCCAGAGCACACACAGTACAGAGGGGCATCCAGGGACAACGTGAGTATAGGTATCAAGTAAAAGAAAGTGTTTTATTACCTGCCCTTGTGTAGGCATGCACGTGTGTGTGTGTGTGTGTGTGTGTGTGTGTGTATGTGTGTGTGTGTGTGTAGATGGAGCTCACCGCATTCTTGGGGAATTATCACTTCACCTAGCATATGTCCTTCACTACCCAACAAGAAGCTTTCTTGTCTTGAGGGCTGAATTTGTAGAGCACAACGTCCTCATTGTTGAAACTTTGTGGATTACCCCCCGCCCCCAAAAGGCTAGCTCTCACTTCTTCCTCCAGAGTAATCTGCCCTTGCTTTCAAAGTATCCATCTGTATGATCTCCCAGATATGGGGTACAATATGATTTATAGCAACCCAGAGACAGACAATGGGGTTCAAGCTGAAGATCAAAGAAACAAAGCAGACAAACCACCAGAGAGACCTTCTACCTCTACCAGATTTTCAGAGGTAAAGGGTGAGATTTTGTCTCCATGAAAGCTCAGACTCCACACTCCAGTGAGTTCCTGTCTCTTCCTCTTTATAGTCCTCTCTCGAACTGGCCATATCACTTCTGTCTCCACCTCCCTAGTTCTGACATTAAAGGCATGGGACTCCCAAACACTGGGATTCAAGTTGTAAGTCAATCTATATATTCAATGCAATCCCCATCAAAATCCCAACACAGTTCTTCATAGACCTTGAAAGAACGATACTCAGCTTCATATGGAAAAACAAGAAATCCAGGATAGCCAAAACAATCCTGTAAAATAAAGGAACTGCCAGAGACATTACCATCCCTGACATCAAGCTCTATTACAGAGCTACAATGAAAACAGCTTGGTATTAGCATAAAAACAGTGATGTGGACAAATGGAATCAAATTGAAGACTCAGATATTAATGCATACATTTATAAACACTTGATTTTTGACAAAAAAAGATACAATGGAAAAAAGAAAGCATCTTCAACAAATGGTGCTGTCATAACTGGATGTCAATCTGTACAAGAATGAAAATGGATACATGTCTGTCACCATGCACAAAACTCAAGTTCAAATGGATTAAAGATCACAATATAAATCTGACCACACTAAACTTTGGGAAGTACCTTCGATGATTGGGCATGGGACACCATTTCCTAAATATAACCCCAGTAGCAAGACAATAAGAGCATCAATAAATAAATGGGACCTCCTGAAACTGAGAAGCTCCTGTAAAGCAAAGCACACAGTCAATAAGACAAAAAGGCAGCCTACTGAATGGGAAAAAAATCTTCACCAATCCCACATCAGACAAAGGATTGATCTCCAAAATATATAAAGAACTCAAGAAATTAGACATTAAAATTCTAAGTAACCCAATTAAAAAGTAGTGTACTAAACTAAACTGAGTTCTCAAAAGAAGAATTTCAAATGGAAAAAAAAATACTTAAGGACTTCTTCCGTAACTATTAGGGAAATGCAAATCAAAACAACTTTGAAATACCACCTTACACTTGTCACAATGGCTAAGATCAAAAACACTAATGATAGCTTATGCTGGAGAGATTGTGGAGCAAGGGGAACACTCATTCATTGCTGGTGGAAATACGAACTTGTGCAACCACTTTGGAAATCAGTGTGGTGGTTTCACAGAAAACTGGAAATCAACTTACCTCAGGATCCAGCAATTCCACCTCTTGGGAATATACCCAAAAGATGCTCAATCACACTAAAAGAGCATTTCTTCAAGTAGGTTCATAGCAGCATTATTTGTAATAGCCAAAACCTGGAAACAACCTAGATGGCCCTCAACTGAAGAATGGATAAAGAAAGTGTGGCACATCTATACATTAGAGTACTACTCAGCAGTAAAAAATAATGACATCTTGAATTTTGCATGCAAATGGATGGAATTAGAAAACATTATCCTGAGTGAGGTAACCCAGTCCCCAAGAAACGAATATGGTATGTACTCACTCATAAGTGGATACTAGTCATAAACAAAGGACAACAAGCCTATAGTTCAGGATCCTAGAGAAACTAAGTAATAAGGTGAACCCCCAAAAAAGCATGTATAGACACACCTGGAAATTGGAATGAGACAAAAAAATGGGAGCAGGGGGCATGGGGTAAAAAAAAGGGGGGATAAGGGGTTTGAGGAGAACTTGAGGAAATGGGATAGTCGAGATGGAGGAAGGACAGATATAAGAGCAAGGGAAGAGATACCTTAGTTGAGGGAGCCATTATGGAGTTAGCAAGAAACCTGGCTCCAGAAAAATGCCCTAAACCCCACAGAGATGTCCCCAGCTAAGACCCTTAGCAATAGAGGAGAGGGTGTCTGACCTGACCTTACCCTGTAATCAGACTGATGATTATCTTAAATGTCACCATAGAACCTTCTTCCAACAACAGATGGGGAACAGAGGCAATGACCCACACTGGAGTAATGGACTGAGCTCCCAATATACAGTTGAAAAGTGGAAGGAGTGAGAGTATGAGCAAGGAATTCAAGACCATGAGGGGGTCATCCACTGACACAGTTTGCTTTAGAATAGTAGCTCACTAACTCAAAACTGGACTGGGAGTGAATGAGCATGGGAACAACAAAGCCCCTCTGAAGAGGGTTGACAGTTGGGGCAGACTGAGGGGCCACTGATAGTGACACTGGGATGTGTCTCTACTGCATATACCAGCTTCATGGGATCCTATTCCTTATGGATGTAAGCCTTGCTCAACCAAGATGTAGTAGGGAGGGCCTTGGAATTTCCACAGGGTGGGGTGCATGGCACTCCCTTAGGGTTGGAGGGATGGGATGGAAGGGTCTGAGGAGGGAGAGGGAGGGCACTGGGAGGAGGGGAAGGAGTGGGAATTTGGATTGGAAAGTTTTTAAGTAATAAAAAAATAAAGGCATGAGTCACAAGCACCATGATCTCTTTTTGGATTGATTTTGTGCAAGCCCAGGATGGCATTGAACTAACAGAGATCTGTCTGACTCTGTTTCCTGAGTCCTGGGTTTAAAGGCATGAGCTGCCACTGCCTGGCCTCTATGACTAACTAGTGGCTTAGCTCTGAACTCTGATCATTATTTCTTCATTGAAATACAAATAAAATATCACTACATTTCCCCCTTTCGTCTAAATAAAAAAGAGAAGGCTATAACTAATATAAGAAAAGCTAAATATAATAAGTATAATAACTATATACAATATATGGAGGCCATAAGTACATCATCAATGTCTAGTCCATTTGCATTTCAGAGAAAATACTCCGTTATCTATCCTATCTTGGTGAGTCCAAATCTTGTACCTAAAATACTTTATATCATAACTTGCATTACCATCCAAAACTATCTTTTGATATCTCTCAACCTTATACACGTTAGAACTTTGCAGGGAGTTTCTTTTCTGTGTCTAATAAACAAACAAACAACAAAAAAAAACTAAAACTAGTCTTCCAATTTCTCAGAGACCCAAGAAGTAAATAATATTAACTAAGTAAGCAGGAAGTATGAGCAAGCAACTTCCAAAAAATATGAGAAATGACAAAAACAGCTTGTACAGTTTGGACAACATACTATCAGTAGTTGAGGGAAGGGCATTTTTTTACCCAGTGGCTTACTTTGGCCCCAAAGAAAGTAAACTTCATGTGGAGATTCTTCAATGCCTATTATCTTCTCTGAAGTAGATTGGGACTGCCAGGAGCAGACATGTCTCATTGTCATAAAAAAGAGCTTCTGTTATTAAAATATCTTAAATGCCATATTCTGTAGATCTCTAAATTGTTTGAAAATGACTTGACTATTTAAAATATATGTTTCGTTTTGAAAATGTACCTAAAATGTCTACAAGTTCTATTGTAATAGGTGACTAATTATTAACCTACATTTCTTTATTATCCTAAAGAGTAAGTAAATATAACTTTCAATTACAAGAAATTTGTATTATATTGTTAAATAAACTGTATAGATACAATACCTTGAACAAGCTTAGAAACATATGTACAGCATGTTTTATCAAAATTAGTATCAAATTTATATCCATGTACAAAATTTGTATACAATATGCAAAAGTTCAATCCAATGTAAAACTAGTAGTTCCTTTTTAAAAGTAGTTTCAATAATCTACCATTTTATCTTATCAAATCTGTATTCTCCCTTTTTCTTTTCAGAGTAGAATTAATAATCTACCCTTTTATGCTATCATATCTGTATCCTCCTTTTTCTCTTTTCCAAACAAGAACTCTGTATTTTATCTCCTTTCTTCAAATTTCTTCCTGACTGTAACCAATAACAAGTTGTAACTGAGGCCCCTAAACAATGACAAATATTCATAACCCATTAATTGAATGACCAAAAACAACCCACTCTACTACTTGGGAGTGGGCGTTGTCTTCTTAAATTTACTTCCTGCTATCTTGGGGTAACAGCATCTTGAGGGAAGCCTGAAAAGAAAGACTTGGGTTAATAGTCTAGTCCTGAGAAAGGTAGCTGTATTATTTGTTGTCCAGATTCTGCATAATGGGAAAGTGCAGGGCTTGTCTCAAGTCCTAGCTAGAGTAGTCTGTGAGGCTAGAATATCTCGGTTAGTCACTTCAAAATTGTTCTGAGCAGTTTATAATCCAAAGATGACCTTTAAGTGGTGTTTTTCAGCTTTATGGTCGTGTTATGGTCCTGAAGGAATAATCATTGTGGGGCCCTATCCTTTTTTTGGAGACTTCAAAGGCATGCTCATGGTTCACTGCAGAAAACTAATACAGACTCAAACATGAAATCATGCACAGATAGATAAATGAAGCCCTTTTCTAGAGTTAGTTAGTACTCTATATGACCATTAATATCATGACAAAACCTTTAAAATACTACATATTTATCTTATAAATTATAAATATTGGGTTAATATTTTGGCCATTAGAAAAGCTATCAAATCTTCAAAATAAAACTATAAGATTATGACATTATTGGCAATATAATAGTCCTTAAATTTTTATTTTTCTTCTGTTCCATATCCGGTGGCTCTTCTGACATGAGACAGAGATTTTGGATTTTCCTTTCACAAACATGCTGGCTTTAGAGAAGGAGAGAGCCACAATCTAAATTCAAAGGCAGTTTTAATCTTTAAGTGGACTGGGACTACAAAAAAAACCATTTGCATTATATGTCTGTGGAGGATGACAGAAAGAAATGTTTGCAAAGATTTATGAAATTTTATGCTGTTGGAAATACGATATACCAATAGACCAATTTACCCTTTCTCTTGGGACATTTTTCTGGATGATTTGTCCTTTTTCTTCCTATGTCTCATTTATCCAGTGGTTTTCAGATTCCTTAGCTGGATGCCTTTATTCTCCTGAAAAGACAGACACAAAACCGTTCCCAAACCCTAATTTTGTTTCTGTGGGGGGGGATTATCTTTTGGAAAGTTACAACTGATCAAATGAAAAGCATTTGTTAGTTTTATATGTTAGTTTAGATTAAATGCCCATGCTGCTTAATGAACAATCATTTCTTCTACTTATTGATAGCTTTTCTTCTCCTGTGGAAACAAAAGCAAAACCCCTTCACTACCATAACACATATACTGGTTTCCATTCTGAGGTCATAACATCTTTAAAATATATTGAATGATTTAGTTCCCTAGTTTTTCTACAATTCAATGTCTCCACATTTGTTGTTCCTTTCTCATTAGTATTTAGAAAATTTAAAGTTAATAAAGCATCATGCAATCTATTTCTGGGTGTCTTTATCATTCCTTTCTGTTTATTTAGCATATCCTTTAGAGTTTTATTCTTTTTTTTTAATAACTGAGTACCCTGTAGAATTGTGTGGCATACCTGTAATATGCTTTTTTTTCATAATAAGAGAAAACTGTCATTTTCTTAGAGACATATGCTGGAGTATTGTCTCTTTATTTGTATGGGTATACACATGATGGCCATAACTTTTAGCAAATTTGTGATAACCAAATCAGCATTTTCTGAGCTAAAAGCCATTGCCTATTTAAAATTCAAGTAACTATCAATGGTGTGGTGTACATATTCTCCTTTTTGGAGACTTCAGAGGTCACTGTTAGGTATGAACATGGTTCACTGTAGAGAACAAAGAGAAACTCAAACCTGAAATCTTGTATAGATTAGAATTAGTACTCTATAAGACCATTAATATCATGACAAAACTTTAAAATACACATATATTTATCTTATAAATTTTGACATGATATTTTGTTGTAAGAGAAGCTTTTAAAGAATCAATATATATAAAATCAAGGGATTATGGAATTAGTGGTAATAAAATAGTTTTAATTTTTTTTATCTTCTGTCCCATATCAGGTGGCTCTTCTGGCATGAGACAGAGATTTTGGATTGTACTGTAACAAGCATGCTCGGCTTTAGAAGGGGAGAGATTCACAACCCAACTCCAAAGACATCTTTAATCTTTAACTGGACTGGGAGTCCCAAAAGACCATTTGCATTGGTTGAATTTAAACAGTTATAACCATGATGACTGTAACTTTGAGCAAATTTGTGCTTACTGAATTAGTGTTTTCTGTACTCAAAGCAGTTGCCCATTAAATCCTAATTAGGTATCAATGGTGTGGTTTTAATATTTTAGTTTTACAAATTCTACCAAATGGAGCACATCCATCTGCCAGATTTCATTCCTTTGAGTACCTTTTTGTAGCAGAGTTTGGTTGTATAAAGAAGAAATAGGACATTTCCTTGTAATTTATTTGGCTTGTTACCAAGTGATGGAAAATACTTTTTGTTTAAAAAATTGCTATTGATATGATGTGGTTTTACTAAATTCTCAGACTCCCAACAGATTTCCTGGTTCATTTATTCAGGCCTTGAATGTTCCCTGTTTGACAGGGAAAAGTGGTAATTTTACAAAAATCCAGTGAGGTTTATCTTCCCTGGACACCTGTGACATGACATTAATGTTGGTGTGTGTGTGTGTGTGTGTGTGTGTGTGTGTGTGTGTGTGTGCCCACTTCAAGTGGGCATGGAAAACAGACCAAAGATCAAACATAGAAGTTAAAGTTCTTAAGAGACTCAGCCCTCAACTGAAGCAAAGGTAAGAACTGGGATCATAGAGGTATAACAACATCTGGTTGTCTACTTTTGGCAGGGTACCTGGGACCTTTGGCTGGAAAGTTTGCAGACAGTTCCAGAACCAGTCCATAGTTGTGAGTGGTCTCAGGCCAGTGAGAAGTCGGAGCAGACCAGTCACAGGTGAGTTTAATTACAGTCATCAAAAGTGCTTCATCAGCTGCCACTTGGTAGAGATGGAGAATGTGAAAGTTCTGGCAGGGTTGTCTAGAGGAAAAGGGATTGAGTCCTTTTTCTTCTGGGCAGTCCAGACTTTCTCAACAATGAAGGTGGCCTCTAGAGTCTCAATCACCGATGCTCTATGGGTCACACTTGATCCTTAACGTCAAGATGCCAACAGAGGGTCCTGAACACATGTGCCAGCTAGAGTGCACCTGGCAAGATGAGTGGCCTAGGAGCAATTTCTAGCCTAGATTTTGTTTCTGTGGTTTCTCCTGAATTCTCCATTTAATGACAGGATTCCCCATTTAGTTTTTCTGCAGAACTCTTATGCCTTTGTGGAGCTCCAAGAGGCTAATGTTGAGTCCTGCCACCTTGGAGTTTAATGGAAAGATTTTTTTTTTTTTTTACTCAGTGAAGAGTGGGGAGTAGGCCTGGCTACCTTGGCATTCTAGTCCTGTCAACACCTCAGTGTGCTGATTCTCAACAGGTCTGAAGGTGAGAGTAAGGATGCTGGGAGCCTCTGGTCCCAAGACTGAGATGAAGGGCTCTCAGGCTAGCTTGCCAGGCCTAGAGTAATCTGGAGTTCACATGACCCATGTTGGTCCCAGCCAGTACCATCCCCTGAGTATGGCTAGACGCCAGAGCAATATATTCACCTACACAGGAAGTAGAGGCATTGAGATCCTGTGGCAGCCATGTGTGTCAGGGTGGGGAGGGGTTCTCTGCTCAGGAGTCAGCACTTGGGGTGAAGATATGTGGGAAATTTGCAATGCCCTCCTAACATCATAAAAGAGAGTCTACCCAAGTGCTGTAAGAACAACAGGGTCCCTGATCCTTTGGGATCCCCCCTTTTTTGGCTCCCACCTTAACAACCCCTCATTTCTTAGAGTCAGAGAGTCTGGCCTCTAATACAAGCCCTTAAATAATACACGTACGAGTAATATTTTATGGACTAAGAAAGTTGTGTTTATATATTAAGGTCAACAATGAAAGAGGCCATAAATTTGAGTGCTGGGAAGCAGAGAATAATGTGACCTGTTAGAGAGGGCATTGGAAGGAGGAAACAATTTAATTATATTTTAATTTCAAAAATAAAGGAAAGTAATGTTTTTGAAGGTTACCCTAATCAGTCTCTGGAGTCACTGAGACTGACTCTGGATGTGGTAAACTGAGGAGTCTCTGGGAGGTCGATAGCCACATAGGTCTGAGCCAAAGCAAATACTTACTTAGCAAAATGAATGTCAGATTTTTACTCACTTACTATGTGACTTAGAAACCAAAACAGTGAGTCTTAACTCATGAGAGTTGACAGCTGGTAACTCCTTGGGAATATTGCTCACTTTTTACATTGATTAAAACAAAACCAAACAAAAAACAAACAAACCAAAGAAACATGAAGATAGGGGCCATGTTATGTATATGTATATATATATATATATATATAATTACATACTATACTGCAATATACTATTGTAGACCAGGCTAGCCTCAGACACATAGATCCAGCTGCTGCCAAAATCCTAGAATTAAAGAATGCCACACCCGTCAATAAATAAGGAATCTTTAAAAAAAAAAAGTCTTAGTGATTAAATAAAAAAGAATAAAAGAAGAGCTTAGTGTCTGAGAAATAGACCATATATTAGCTTTCTTCCTGACCAATTGTCTCTTTCTACTCCATTTCTCCCTTCCTTCCCTCCTTCCTTCCTTCTCCATTTCCTACTTTTCCCTTCTCTCCTTTCCTCTTCTGTGCTTCCCTTCCTCTCTCCCTCTTTGAAGCCTGACATGCTCACTGTGATGACTCTACATCGTTTTCTATTTCTCCTTGCTTTCTGTCTTCTCTGTGTTTTGAGCATCTTTGTTCCATTTATACATTTAATGTCCTTCCAGAGTGCTGCACCTATCAACAGCTAAGGTTCATCATTAAAGCCAAGCCTTCAGCATGACCCAAATCTAAGGGGGATAAGCTGCAATGATAGCATGAGGGTGGGGCATCTCTGCTGGCGTAGCCAAGTGGATTATAGCAGCAGTGAGCAGAGGCAGTGTCCTTCTTTAGGGTGAATCTGAGTAGAGACAACCACAGTCAAGCAAGGAAGGAAAACATCAGAGGAAAGGTACCATGTGGCCAGCTTTGATTAGTGGTGCCTCCCTGTGTGAAGCCTCTAGCTGCAAAACAGACTCATGGGCAGGTTACATCTCTGGAAATATTCTCTCTGCTTAGGCCACCTTGCACAAGATTCTCCAAGAATATGTAGGGTAAAAGCCCAAAGTCAAGAGTGGCTGTCCCTTATTGAAATGCAAGGCTTAGGTTCTCCTTAAAATGATTATGAACTGCCTCTCTCTCTCTCTCTCTCTCTCTCTCTCTCTCCTGCATTAAAAGCAAGGACATAAAGGGTGCAGAAGTCATGGCAGAGTACACTGCCTGTGTAGTCATTATGACAGACCGAAGTTCAAAGCATGAATGGCTGTGGCTCCAAGGTGTAAGCCCTTTAGGGACAGTACACTCAGCAGAAGTTTAGGTGGGAACATCTGGCAGGGAGTGCAGAGAACACAGAGAAGTGGCATCCATTCCTGTCAAGTGGTGAGTATCTCTGCTTGTGACATGCTGGCCTGGGCCTTGGCTGGAAAGTATATGGAAGGTAGTAGATTGCCTGGAGCCAATAAGAAGTCAGAGCATCAAGTCACATGAAATCTTAATGCCATCCTCATCCTAAGAAGTGCTTTCTCAGCTTGAGGTCAGCACAAATGCAGAGTTTGAAATCACTGACAGGGCTTCTTGGTGAGAAAGGAAAGAAATCCTTTTCTTCTAGGCAATACAGAAAGTCTCAATAAGGAGGAGGACAGCCTATGCAGGCTCAGTCCTTCAGGACAGGAAGGCTTCCTGTTGCATAGTTAAAACCATTTCTCAAGGGAAAATGTTAATTCTACAATAATCCAGCAAGATCTAGCCTCTATGAATACGTGGGGCATGGAATCTACATTATGTTGTGTGTGTGTGTGTGTGTGTGTTTGCCTACTGGTAGTCGTAGCCAGCCAGAAAAACAAATTCCTTTCCCAACACTTATACTCATTTAGTCCTGAG